AGAAAATTGAGGGGGTTTGGGGAGGGAAAAAAGAGGGTTAGGGGGGATTTAGTTTGGGGGTTGTGTGTGTGTGCATTTAACAGAGATAGGGAACATGGGTTTGTGTATGCATGTAACAGTGAGATGGGACAGGAAGAATAGTAGGCATAGAGAGACAGAAGGGGGTTTTGCTGGTGTTAGAGGTGGCGCAGATGATTTAGTGGTGCCATTCATGGTGGCCGTAGAAAAGGGGTAGGGCATTCGTGGTGCTTGGTTGCTAGTGATGCTTGGTTGCTGTTGGTGGTGGCGTTGAGGGTGCTTGGTCGCTGTTGGTGGTGGCGCTAGTGGAGGTGCTGTCTGTGTAGCAAGGGAGAGAGGAAAGTGGTGTGAGACGGGAGAGGGAGAAAGAGAGCCAGGAGAAAAAGGGTAAGGTATGCTCCACAGACAAAGAACAAATGAAGAACGAGGGAGAGAGAAAGGTGGATAGAGAGAGCGGGAGAGAGGACACCGAGCAAAGGTAAAATCCCTAGAAAATTACTATACGGGGGTGTTTTTGTAAATTTAGAACTAATCCCGCTGGAAGAAAAATAATCCCACACTCCCTTGGGTTAAAAATATACAGGTCAAATGGGATATTGGGCTACAAACCCCACGGCCGCGTTTTTGAATGACTACGAATATTCCATAACATTGTACGTACCAAAGCTGGGATACGTGGGCCATTAAGACTATTTTAACCTAATTCCTCACATAATTCCCACTAATCCTGCCAAACAAACATCCTCTGTTTGGCTTGGTAGGTTATAATTTTGCGAAGCATAAGAATAATATGAAATAGTAGAATTTTGAAAAAAATTTAGTCATACTTCTTCTAATTTATTATATTTTTAAGGATACCCCTTCTATTATTAAAAACATCACTGATACCATTCTACTTTATATTTAAATATCACTGACATCTCCTGACATTAAACCATCATTTCTAACAAAAAAAATTCATATTAAATACCAAAAAATGTCCCTATATAAACCCCAAATAGTTTTTTTAAATAAAATTCAATTACAATTTGAGCAGACTAAAATTTATTTTTTTACCTATTAAAATTCGAGTTGATTAAAATTTATTTTTTTTACATATTAAAATTTGAACCGATTAAAATTCGAAAATTTATTTTTGTACGCATTAAAATTCAAGCCTATTAAAATTCTTTTTTTATGCATTAAAATTCGAGCCGATTTGAGCTCTACTCGAATTGTTAGCGCCGATTAAAATTCGTTTCGAGTCAATTAAAATTTATATTTTTTCACTTATTAAAATTCAATTCATTAAAATTTGAATCAATTAAAATTTATATTTTTTTATGTAATAAAATTTAGCTCAACTAAAATTCAATGCGAATTGATTAAAATTTGATTTGAGTCGATTAAAAATAATTTTTAATTGGCTCAAATATAATTTTAATCTAATCAAATTTTAATACGTAACAAAATTTAATTTTTTATTGACTTGAATTTTAATACGTAAAAAATCTTGAGGGAATGTGAATGAAGTTTATCCTCAAATATATCATGAATAATTTAGTAAAATTACACTATAATTAATATTTTTACTCTAATAGGGGGTGTTAGTAAACATTTAAAAAAAAGATGAAGTATTCTTGAAAATATGATAAACTAGAGGAGGTGAGATTGAATTTTTTCTTAGAATTTTTTTAGAGTCATTTACCATTATATCCCCTTATGCTATAAATTGTAATAACTATTTTCACCACTTAACTGACAATATGTGTGTGTGTGTCTATATATATATATAGAGAGAGAGAAAGATATATATATATATATATCTATATTACTAATAAAAGTATTTTACATGAAAAATTTTTGATTCACTATTTTGCCTTTATAAAAAATTATAAAGACTAACATGTCTTTTTATATTTAAATATGTAGATTACTATTATATCCCTATATATCTAAATAACAAACTAACCTTTAACATATCATGTAAATCTCTATCTTTGCAAATTTTTTAGATGGTCATGTCGCTCTTAACAAGATATATGAAAACATTATTTTTTTTTTCCAAAACCCCAAAATTAATACACATTAACAACTTCATTGATATAATATTATCTTCGGTGTCACAAACTTGATATATGTATATTTTTATCTTTATCCACAATACAAATAATTTAAGTATGATAAATATGAGATAATATCAAATTTAAATATATAATTAAATTTTTATATATTTGAATAAATATTTAATGAAAACTTTTATGTGCAAATGCAAGTGTTGCATTAGTAGTATATATAAAATCAAGTAATCTAACATGATTTAACTTTTATACATAAATGATGAGTCATACTCAATAAGGTATCTCCTAAGGGGGTACTCCGCAACCCAGTGTATAGGAAATGTCACATGCAATTTATCACATCAAGCATCCATTTAAATACTTATATGTCATAAATGAATGATACTATTTCATGTCATGTCATATGGTGGAACTCACACATGCAATGTAACCCGAGCCCTCCACCGGCTCTCATAACACATGTCATGTCTTACATATGCATCCAGACATTTCAAACTCCCGTCATTGGTATTAGATATCTAGTGATCATTTTATAAAATCTTATATTTTTCTTGGGGTGGGTATTTATGGACTTCCACCAATGGTCACCAGACTGACACGACATCTATGGACTTCCACCAATGGTTTCGTGTACA